CAATGTTTCTAACTCTCTATCTCTCTCCCTTCCTCTCTCTGTAAAAAAATCAATAAAAATATATTTAAAAAAAAAAAAAAGGTAGATCAATGATGAGAATCCCTGCCCCCAAATGGGGATTGAGCCCACAACCCATGCATGTGCCCTTGACCAGAAATCAAACCCATGACCTCCTAGTTCATGGGCCTATGCTCAACCACTAAGCCACACTGGCCAAGCCCAACTGTATAAATTCTTTAAAATTGTTGCCAAGCTAATGCTGAAATATGATAATTTTTAGTTTACTTTCATTTTCTTAATGGGGAGGTTGAGTGTCTTTCATGTTTATTATCTATTTAGAATTGCTCTTTCTGAATGGCCTATTTATATTCATCACTCAGTTTTTTTATTGGGTTGTTTGTATTTTTTATATGTGTCTTAGCAGTAATAGTGGTAGTCGTAACCCTTTATATGTTAGAGTCATTACAAAATTTACCTGCTAATCTGGCATTTATCTTTTGACTTTGCTTTTGATATCTTCTGCCATAAAATTACATGTATATATAGATGAATTTTAAAAATGATTTCTTTTATAGCTCTCAGATGTTCTGCCTTGATCAGAAATTCTTTACAAACCCTAGGTTGTATAAATAGTCTCTTAAATTTTCTTCTTAAGATTTCTATGGTTATTTGTTTTCCTTTTGGGTGTTCAATTCAACTGGATGTAGTATTTGTATTGGCTTTGAAGCTCGAATTACTACATTACATTCTGCTGTAAGAATAATCTGTTTTGCTATCACAGTTATTAAATAAAACATCCTCTTCACATCAAATTAAAATACTTTCATATTAAAATGAAGAAGCAATTGTTAAGATTAAGATATACTACACCATATCCAAAAGCTGCTAAGAATGATCTGAAAGGGATATATTAATAGATTATGAGATAGAAAATATAGCAGGATGCCAGTGGGACCCAGAGGGACTGGGATCCAGAAAAGGGTAAAGGTCTGGGTCACCTCATCTCTCCTGACACATGGGAAGCTGGGGGTATGGGCACAGTCAAAGGCAGTGTGGCAGATACGCTGGACAGCAGATGAGGAGCTCTTGTTTAAAGCTTTCATTTTCCCAGAAAAAGCAGGATATCATCTACTCCTGGGAGAGGACGGGGAAGGGAAAGAGGGTGAAAGATGCATGTAGATTTAAGGAGAGAGAGGAATGTAGGAATTATATTATTGCAGAGTGGGAAAATAAAGAATTAGGGAAGTGTAAGAGGACTAGTAGGCAAAATTAAAGGCCCAAGAAGATTTTTGTGGTAATTGGTTTAAAATGAGAATTCTTCAGAGGTTATATGGTTTTGTTTTTTTTTTTTGCCAGCAAAGGTAGCTGATAAATTGAATTTTAAAATTTTAGTAAACTTACATTTCACCTTTTTTTCCTAAGCAGCCATTTATTAATTTATCTTTATTGTTAAAGTATTATAGACATCCCCCCCCCCCTTTTTTTAAATCTTCACCTGAGGATATTTTTTCCATTGATTTCTAGAGAGTGGAAGGGAGGGAGGAGGGGGAAAGGGAAAAAGGGGAGGGAGGGGATGAGAGAGAAACATGTACGTGACATCAATTGGCTGCCTTCCTGGGAGGTACATGCCCCGGGAATGGAACCTATGACCCTTTGGTCTGCAGGCTGATGCTCTAACCACTGAACCAAACAGGCCAGGGCTAGATGTCCCTCTTTTCCCCCCCATTGCCCCCTCCATCCAGTTCCCGCCCCACCCCAGACCTTTGCCACCCTATTGTTTATGTTCATAGGTAATGCATATATGCATATAAGATCTTTGTTTAATCTCTTCCTGCCTCCCCAACCCCCCTACCACCCTACCCCTGCCCCCACCAGGCCTATCACACTATTGTAATTATGCTTATAAGCATATACATTCTTTGATTAATCTCTTCCCGAGCCCCACCCTCATCCCCCTTCCCTGTAAGATTCATCAGTCTGTTCCATGCTTCATGTCTCCAGATTTATTTTGTTTGTCAGTTCATTAGATTCCACATATAAGTGATATTATATGAAAAGAAATCATCAACATAATGAAAAGGGATCCCACTGTATGGGAGAACAATATTTGCCAATGATATATCTGATAAGGGGTTAATTTCCAAAATATATAAAGAACTTATACAACTAAACAAAAGGAAGACAAACAATCTAATTAAAAAATGGGCAAAGGACCCAAATAGACACTTCTCCAAAGAGGTCATATAGATGGTCAAGAGACACATGAAAAAATGCTCAAAATCACTAATCATCAGAGAGATGCAAATTAAAATAACAGTGAGGTATTACCTCACACCTGTCAGAATGGCTACCATCAACAAACCGACAAATGACAAGTGCTGGCGAGGATGTGGAGAAAAGGGAACCCTAGTACACTGCTGGTGGGAATGCAGACTGATACAGCCACTACGGAAAACAAAGTGGAGTTTCCCCAAATAATTAAATATGGAACTGCTAGTTGACCCAGTGACCCCACTTCCAGGTATATATCCTAAGACTCTGAAAACACGAATCAGAAAGAATTATGCACCCCTATATTCATAGCAGCGCTATCTACAAGAGCTAAGATCTGGAAACAGCCCAAGTGCCCATCAGTCAGTGAATGGGTAAAAGGCTGTGGTACATTTATACCATGGAACACTATGCAACTGTAAAAAAGGATCTCCTTCATCATTGATGTTTCTTTCTCTCGCTCCCTATCCCTTCCTTTGTGGAATCAATAAAAATATATTTAAATAAAAAAAAGGCTCTCTTACCCTTTGAGCCAGCATGGAGAGACCTGGAGAGTATTATGCTAAGTGAAATAAGCCAGTCAGAGAAAGGCAAGTGTCACATGCTCTCACTTATAAATGGAATCTAAGTAACCATTTAAGTCAAAGGCTTTATAGTTTCGTTTATTAGCACTTTAAAATCACAAATAAAAACAGTGTTTACTTTCTTTTCCTTATTAATACTTTCAGACCATTTAAGTCAAAGCTTTTTAATTTTGTGAACTGATTATATGTTGATGTTATTTAACTGTGGTTGATGATGAAAAGATTAGGTGGTAGGCTAGCAGTTAAATGAATCCGGGTGATTGGCTCGGGGCCGATAAGGGCAGTTGGAATATAAAAGCAAGAAGTATTTGCTGTAATTGCGTCACACCTTGCCATTGTTACTTCATTCCTCCACTTCACAGTGCATCAATCATTCATTCATTCAACAAATACTTACTCGGCACCTATTATTTGCCAGGCACTGTTCTATATGCAGAGGATACACCAGTGAACAAGAGAGACAAGGTTCCTGCTTTCCTGGAACTTATGTTCTAATACAGGAAGATAGACAATAATAATAAAAAATAATATTAATTATAATAATAGCCAACATTTATTTAACAAGTACTGTTTTCTGAGACAGTTTACGTGCTTTACAAGTATTAATCCACTAATTCTTATAATAACATTATGAAGTACAAACTAGAATTATTCCCGTTTTACACATGTGGAAACTGAGGGCACAGAAAGGAAGAACAGCTTGCCTAAGATTACACAGCAAAGAAAGGGCAGAACTGGAATTTAGAACCAAACCAGTCAGGCTATCGCTCTCTTTCCCTTTAATGACTTTTCTACGCTGGCTCTCAGACAAGACACAAAGCAATACACAAATAATAGGTTTCGTAGTATGAAAAACAAAGCAGGGTAAGGTGGTGGTATATGTGTGTGCAAATATGGGGGGCAAATTTAGATGCCAGGGAAAACCTCACTGAGGAAGTGACATTTGGACTGAGACCTGAAGGGCCCTAGTAGCTATTCTGGGGCACAGGCAGCAGAGAAAAGCTCGTGTAAAGAAATCTGTCCTTGTGTGTGAGACAGAAACGCCTGCTTGGCTGTGGCTAGACCTTAAGTGTGGAAGATAGTGACCGATTAGAAAAGCCAGGGCGACAGGCAGGCCAGGCCACGCCAGATGGATCCTCGGGCCGCATTAAAAAATGTAATCATTGTTCTAACTGCAATGGATCTCTATGCAGGAGATAACACTACCCGATTCATAACTTTAAAAGGCCCCTCTTGCAGCTCTCTGCAAAACTGCAGGTAGGACACAAGTGCAAGCAGGAACATCTCCTAGGAGGCAGTTACAATCCAGGCGGAAAATGGTAGCGGCTTGGACTAGGGCAGTGACAGCGGAACAAAATTTAGGGTAAATTTGCAAAGTTGCATTGGCAAGACTTGCAAAGGGACCGGACAGTGAAGAGTGACTGAAGAGGAATTTAAGTAGGAGCCTCCAGACTGGGGGCTGAGTTACCAGTGCGATGGTAGTGTCCCCAGGGGGATGTGTAAGGGGAGGGGAGAGATACCTTCAGCAAGGAAAATCAATACTGACATTTTTGAACTTTATGGAAGAAAGGACTTTTTCTACTTTTTTTTCCCCACTTAAAAAGTTTCAAATAAGAGTTCTGGGTGGTGGTGGGGGGGAGCATCCTAATGTTCAATTTTATGAGCTCTTTTACATTAGAAACTTGAGGGAGTTGAATTTTCAATTGTTTAGCAAAATAATTTATTGAGCATCTACTCTGGTCACACACTGTGCGATGAGATAGCATGATAAACTAAGCAAACAAGACCCCCCAGCTCGCAGTGTGTCTGGGGGGCCGGAGCGGGGGAGGAGAGGGAAGGAGGACTGATCTCTCCCCTGTTCGCTGCCTTATTAAAACTTCACCTACTGCGCGAGGAGCCATCTTATCACGGCAGCTCGCGCTCCTGGCAGTTGGGCCCACCGCTCCCAACGCCCGAAGCCAAGTCATACATGAATGAATCTCTAAATCGTGACACCACCCCTCCCGCTAGAACTCAGGTTTTTTTAAACATAAAATTTTAGCAAACAATACGAATACAACCTTTGCTCTGAAGGCTAATATTTTTTTTTTTGCAGGAATGGTACCTTTATAAAGATCGTGGTTGCCCCCGTACTTATTTGTTCTTTCTTCATATCCACTTAAATGAAAATACTAGTGTTTCCGTAGCCCAGCCCTCTAGGCTGGTTGGGTCTAGCTCTGGAGAGAGGCAGCAGGAGCCGTTGGATTTAAACAGTTGGGAGGAATCCTTTTCTACGCTCCCTCTCGCTAGCCGGGGACGTGGTGGCGGCTACCCGGGGCTTTCCGTCCACGCAGTACCGGAATGAAGGAGTCTGGGAGGGGGTCGGGGAAGGAAAAGACGGAAGAGACATTAAGTAATTGGTTCTTGAAGGTATAAAATGATGTTTAAGATCAGCTCTAAGGCACCGAATTCAAACGACCGCCCCCTCGGCCGTTTCGGCCCCGCCCCTCGCTGACGTCACGCCGACTTCCCCTTCGGCCCCCGCGGATTGGTCGCTTCCTCCGCCCCTGAAGGGCGGCCAAAGGGCTCGGCGTTCACTTCCGGGTCTTGGGCTCTGGCCCCGGATGCAGAGGATTCTGGGAGCCCGAGAGTCGATGGAAATGTCTGTGTGATCTTCGGAGGCTGCAGAGTCGGAGGGACGAGAGCAGGTTGTCTTTCTCGTCCGAGTGGGGCGGGAGGGGCGGTTGGGATCGGAGCCGCGGGCGGAGGGCCCT